GGTATTCCAGAGCAGCAACTTCTGTATGCGAGGCAGTTTTCCCGCACCTAATAAATCTGTTTCCATCTTTAAGTTCTTAGTGAAATTCTAGATTATGAAATATAAGCTGAGCACATGAGATTTAATAATGTTAGAATATGACTTTAATGTAAACTTGGGCACCATTGGGATAAACACAAAGTAGTGCATATTCATTGAATTAATACTCATTTTCTGAAAGTTCCTTACCAACAGAAAACTCAGTAACTTCTAAACAAAATTAAAATCATTCTAAGAATAAATTCAGAGAAAAAACGGTAAGTATGCAGCAGTGCAGAGGCTTTATTTTATAAATCAGAAATATATTTTAGCTTATAATATTCTGCAGAAAGAATATGGATTTTGGAACTCATCAAGACCTGGGTTGGCAACTCCATTCTGCTGCTTACCCGGCATGCCATCTTGGATCAGTCACTCAATGCCTTTGAATTCTAAAATTCTCACAAGGCAAATGAAAATATCAATATCCAATTCACTTGAAAAACCTGAGATGAATGAACCCCTTTTGAGCTGTTAATGAGGTCAGTGACTTTAAGGGCACCCTGTGGCACCTACCCCCACACCTGGCACGTTAAATAAATGATAGCTACGATTATCATTTTTGTTTTGAAAGCTTTTCTTTTTGACTCCTTACTTCCTATTGTTTATGGAGGAAAATGGCTTCCCTAATAGTTAAAGAGTATGAGTATAGGAATCTAAAACATCTGGGTTTAACTTGGGGCACTACCATTTACTAGTTGACTAATCTATTTATTAAAGGATCTGAGCCCCAATTGTATAAGTGGGTGTATGAAGAAAACAAAATCTTGCAGGGACATTTTGAAGACTCAAAGTGAAAATAGAGTGTGTAGCACAGAACAAGCACTCTGTTACAGTAGATATTATAATTCTTATGAGTCTTCTCTCAGGTACTATCCTGTTCTGTATTAAAGAACCCATGTTCATTAATATTTTTTAAGTAAAAGTAGGAAAATTTTCCTCCATTATATTTCACTACTTTGCAGACAAACATAATTTGATATTATAAATATTATTCTTATAAATAATATTTGTATAATGACTTATAGTGTACAAAATACCTTTATAACTTAAGACTGTGCTCTAAAAATGTTCCCCAAATTAGTCACTCTTTGCTGTGATTACTCCAATCATTATTCTGGCAACCCATTCTATCATCAAGATGTTCAACAGTGAACAATAATGATAAACTTCAAATAGTAAGGCAGCTACTTAAAAAAAGTTAAATGTGTTATTGTCATAGGCCTATGTTTTTAGAAATATTTGGTAGTTAAAATTGGTTAGATGAAACTGAGCGACTGGTCACAGATTCTCCATCTCAGCAGTGGAGGCCTTCTCCAGGCAGGTTTTAACAAAAGACCCTTAACAGAAGTGGTTTCTTAATTTCTCTTTGACTTCTTGAATATTGTTTAAAATATCAGTTAGGTTGCCTATTGTCGCTGAGGTTAAAATACAATTTAAAAAAATCTGGTAGGTGCTTTCTGGAACTTACCATGTCAACAAATGGAAAGAAGAAATATGGGTAACTTTCTTACATCATGGATTAGATCAGATGCTGAGATTAATGACTTATTATCTAAACTCAGTAGGAATGCAATTAAACGCGAAAGAATGGAAAGCACCCCACAGTTCATAAGACTAAGCTGTTTCTACTAGCACAGTAACTTAACTGAAGCACATGCTTAAAACTCATCAAATACATTACTTCCCTTAACATTTACAAGGTCAAAACCAGACATCAGCCACAACTTGAAGTGCCATTAGTTGCTCTGAAAAACTTTTGGACAGATCGCTTCAAGAAGCAGCACTCCAGTTCCCACAAAGGCCCCTGGGGTGTTTCATGTACACACGCACCTTGAGAACCAAGTGGTTAAGGGCAGCATTACTCTTAATCCTTCAGATGAGTAGCCTGCCAAACAACCATTCTTTACACAGGTATACAGCTCCTTATGCAACAGTCCTCATTTCCACTGTTTTATCCTCTATTCAGTCCTTGGTTTAGTGATTCTGGCCATTATATCTACACTTTAAAACATGATGTGACATATTATATGTGTAAGCGCCACTTAGTAACTGATAAGTGCACAGCATTGGATTGACACGAGTACTAGAGCAGTCTTTTCTAGATCTGCTTCCAAAATCCCTCCATAGGCATGGTGGCATTTGCTTGTTTTTGGCCTCTGCTTTCTTTCATTGCCTCTACCTTCCTCCTATTACCTGCTATGCATATCAAACGACTTGGGGGGCTTCTAAACTGTTTCGGTGTCTGTTTTTACCAGACCCATTAACTAGAACTTATGTTTATAGTATCAACGATAATTTCAAAGCCATTTTACAAACGAAATATTTTGATCTTCATAAGGTGACACGAGATGAGGAAACAGGCATGAAGAGGCTATCTGATGTGGCTGAGTCACTTGACATGAGTGTCCGAAGAGAGTATCTCCCTCCTGACTCTGAATTTGGGCTCACTTCGTCCCCGTTACTACTTCATCATTTGTTGGTCTTTGGATTAGACTTGTGTTAGAAATTCCGTCTCACCAGTTGTGTGATTTTTAAATATATTGGTTAAACCTTGAATTTTAGCTTCCTTGTTGGTAAATGGGGGGATAACAATACCTACTTCACAGGGTTACCTTGATGATTAAATGAAATGGTATATGTAAAGTAAAAAACCTGGAATAAGGTAAGTGTTCAAAAATGTTAGTCCTTCCAATCTCCTCTTGGGGAGTCTTCACCTAGAGGTAGTTCCCTTAGGTCTATAGAGGATCTCTGAAGTTACTCTGCAATCCAGTGGTGGGCCAGGAGAGCTGAGTACATTAACGTTATCACTTGGGTGACAACAGTTCATTGAACCAAGGATTTATCAGTCATCTACTATACCCCAGCACAGTGCTAAGGACTATAGATGCACAAAAGAAGTAGCAGCAGCCAAGGAATTTTGGCAGTGACAAGAACCAGACTTCATTTCCTAGAAAATAAAGATACTCCAAGAGGGGCTAGTCTGCCAAGTTCAACAGGGCTTTTTAAAAATTCTCCCAAATAATTTCAGATAGAATACAATGATTTAAAAGCTTATACATGTTAGAGTTGACTCTTGAATGGCACATTCGGCCAAACCCCAAAGTGTTATTTTTGTAGGCAGTGGTACTGTGTCCAGACCATATTATGACATGGGGTGAGGAAGGGAGCATGGAAGAGCCGGTCTCAAAGGGACCTAGGAAAGAAAGGTTTAAAAACGTGCGAGGTGTTTCTGCTTTGTGTTTCCCTGACTTTAGTCACCTAGATTATAAAACACTCTAGGGCAAAACTACCCATTTGGTATTTTCTCTATCCTTCTTCAGTGCCTGGGAACAGAAATATTTGTTGAGCTGAATTTTGGCCTCCGAGTCAAACCAAACAGACAAACAAACAAACAAACAAACAAAAAAAGGTAATCATGATTCCACCGCATTTGGATTAGCCCATAAAAAAAGTTTTTACAGCTAACTAAAACATTGCACATTGAAAAGATTTTCCAAGGTCAAATCTAGTGAAATCTCAGCATAATTTGGTTTAAGCTATACATTTCATCGTTAGCAACAGTAAATGGTGTGTGAGGCAATGTGCAGTGTGAAACAACCCAGGGTTTAAGGTCAGACAACTTGACTCTCATTCTGCCTCTTCGTGTGATTTTGGGCAATGACCTGACCTCTCAGGGTCACAGATTTATTCTTTTTAGAATGGGAATAATGTGATCTATCTTATGACATTATTGAAAAACTTAACTGAGATGGACTATTACATGTATACACTAATTAGTAGGTAACAATTTTTGAGCATTCAATAAGCATTAGACTACGCTAAGCACTTTTTATTTAACTAATTTAAACTTTACCATAACTCAAGGGGATGGATGTATTAATTATTCCCATTTTAGAGATAAGGAAATTGAGGCACAGAAAGTTTTTGTAAGAACCTTGCCACACAGGGGCGCCGGGGTGGCTCAGTCGTTAAGCATCTGCCTTCGGCTCAGGTCATGGTCCCAGGGTCCTGGGATCGAGCCCCGCATGGGGCTCCCTGCTCTGCGGGAAGCCTGCTTCTCCCTCTCCCACTCCCTCTGCTTGTGTTCCTTCTCTCACTGTGTCTCTCCCTGTCAAATAAATAAATAAAATCTTTAAAAAAAAAGAAAAAAAAAAAAAAGAACCTTGCCACAGTCAGTTACTAGCTGGCTGAACAGGAACTCAAACTCAGCCTCTGGCAGTCTAGCTGCAGATCTGTGTTCTTAACCATCTTGCTTTGTCGCCTTGCTCTCTCAGAGCAGCTCGTTACATGCCCACTTCTCCTCACCCTGGATTCTGGTATAAAAAATGCAACAGATCCCACCTTTCCAGAAATAGCTAGTTACCCTGAGGACACAGGGCACATGCATAAGGAGAGACAAAGTCATACACAACACAAGGTGTCAAATGTCAGAGTGGGGTATAACCACAAGTTCTATGGCAGTCTGGAAGGAAGGACATAATTGGGATGGAAAATCGGCACGATTTTGTAATGTAGGTGGAACTTGACTTAGGTCTTGGAGGAAAAGCAGAATTAAAACCAGGAAGGAGGATTTGGGAAAGTTGTTTCAGATAGGACAACAAGGACAAAGGCTCTCTGTGTTCAGGAAATAAGGCTCGGCGTCAGCGGGGAAGGTTTCTATATGGGAACACTGAGACGGAGGAACAAGTGGCACTTTAAACTCATTTTTTTAGAATGTTTGAGAAGCCCAGAGAGGAGGGAGGACCCCCTATGGGAGAACCACCTGGGGTTTCTGAGAGGCGGTGTATCTGTGTGCATGGGTGCCATGTCATGCCGAGCAGTGCTTTCCAAAGGCTGATGAGATGGCAGATGTATAACCCACGGGGTGGGAGGACCGAAAGTTGGATAACCGAAAGCACGTTAGTGTTCAGTACACATACCTACATTCAGACACTTCTCAATGATCAGGCGATGATTATCTGGTTGGTGGATATTCCATGGCCTCTTCTCAACCTACCTCCCGTCCTTTTGGCTTATTTCCTGCTTGTTAGTACCTGGGGGTGGAGACGGAGACAAAGCGATTTTCCAGTGAGTTTTTTATTTTGTTTTAATCATTATTTTTTTTGCTGCTCCTTAGCAGCTGTAGTTAAAAATGTGTTCTGGGCAGAAGAAGAAGTATGTCTTGGATGATCAGAACATTTTCTTCTTTCTTTCTCTTTTTAAATGGTACTTCCAGAGTGCCTTTATTAAACAATTTGCTGATGAAGAGCAGAGCTCACATTTGAGCCTAACCCTGGAATATGCAACTGTTAATTCCCTTTGATTAGAAATGGACTTGTAAATTGGGGGCTACCCACATGCACTTTCAGATAATGTTCCTGCAGCAGAAAATTGTTTCTGATCTGGCTGTTGAAGTTTTTAGGTGAGAGAGGTTAAATGTACTCTACTTAAAGATGCCCACATTGTGCATTTCAGACTACCTTTTATAGCCATATGATGATTATCCACACAAATCATTTTTACCTTTGCTACTACTTGAATATATTAAGTACTTGCTGCTTCTTCCTAAGTTGAATATAGAACACTAGGAGACCTGAGTAATTCTTTAGCTGCGAGTACATGTTTGGCTCTAAAACTAAAGTGCTGTATTAGAGAGGTTAAAAAGGAAAGAAAGAAAAAGATGAGAAAATGAAACAGACTGCAATGAAACAGGTTTGCAATGCCAAACTCTTTTTTTTTAAAGTAATATTTCATTGTTTTTTCCAGGCTATTGTTAAGAGTGTATATGACATCTAAATAGATTGCAGGAGCCCAGTCCCAATACATCATTATCACTAATATATATTTAATAGTAGACATAAGATTGTTCTGGTCCAAAATGGCAATGTGCATCTTTTACACATACACACTTTTTTTTTTAAGTTTTGCTCTTTCTTTTTTTTTTTTTTTTTAAAGATTTATGTATTTATTTTAGAGACAGAGCAAGAGAGGTGCCTGGGTGGCTTAGTCGGCTAAGTGTCTGCCTTTGGCTCAGGTCATGATCTCAGGGTCCTGGGATCGAGCCCCACATCGGGCTCTCTGCTCAGTGGGGAGCCCACTTCTCCCTCTCCCTCTATTGCTCCCTGTGCTTGTGCATGCTCTCTCTCTGTCAAATAAAATCTTGAAAAAAAAGAGAGAGTGAGAGCAAGAGCATGTGGGGGGGGGGGGTGGCAGAGGGAGGAGAGGGAATCCCAAGAAGACTCCACACTGAGCACAGAGCCTGACGTGGGGCTTGATCCCAGGACCCTGAAATCATGACCTGAGTCGAGATCAAGAGTCAGACACTTAACCGACTATGCCACCCAGGCGCCCCCCCACCACACCTTTTTCAAGAAAAAGAAAAGACTTTAAAATTGTATATACTTGGTTAATAGCCAGCTACCAAATCTCTTGTATCTCTTCTCTGATTAACACACTTTCATACATTATTTCCAGTTCTTCCACTTGAATCCTTGTCCATTCTCCACCTCACTATCCCAATACTGCCCAAACAGTTCCAGAGAAACCAGAGAACTAGTAGAAAAAAAGTACATTTGGTTATTTCAGGACATGGCACACATTGGTAGTGTCTACTTATTAGCCAGAAAACTGGATCCATTGCTTGTGAGAACTCCTCGCATGCTCAGAGACTGCTGACCTCAACATAAGACAAAGCAAAATGAAGCCTCAACCACTCTGCTTCTCAATTTGTTTGAGAAGCTAGAATTACTTCTAAAGTTCCCAAATAAACAGAAATCATTATAATTATGAATAATTAAAATGCTAAACTCAAGAGGGCACTCAACATTCATTACTTTGCAGAACTCATCCCCTAAGGGTAGTACCTTCAATTAGTTCAGTTTTTACAACAGAAGAAAAATGAGACAATCAGTAATTGCAGGTATTTAGCGCCAAGGAACAAAACAAGCTAACTTGCCTTTAAATCAATCTTTCTCAGCCAGCAGAGGCACTGCTCTCTTTTGGATTTTTAATGTCTATACTAATTCCAGGATATAGAAAAGCAATAGATGGCAGGATAGCACAAAAATGTACCGGCCTCAAAGTGCTAAGGAGAAGCACTTCAGCTTTATTCACTATTTGGAATAGGTTAAAGTAGAAGGTATCATATAACAATAAATAGTTTTAAAAGAGAATCTTTTAAAAGATATTTTATAAAATTTATCGATATATTTACTCAACCTACAAATGTTTATTAAGCACTTAACCATGCATCATGGTTTATGCTAAGTGATAGTTACACTGCAGAATAAAAACTAGCTGGTGGTTATTTTTTTAAACATATATAAATTACCATACAGAAATCTGAACACAGCAATATATTTTTATATTCTTACAAACATAAAGTTTGGAGTATATAGCTACTATATAGAAAATGAAGCTATCCAAAGCGTTATTTCTCATTATTCTTGAAGTTGTAATAAATTATTTTAATTTAAAAAATTAAATCACAAATTATCCAGATTTTTCTTCCTCAGAGCCTCCTCTATAAAAAGTATAATTTTTTTCTTACAAAATATATCCATTTTTTTTGCAGTAATAAATGCTATTACAATGATTAGGGTTTTTCTTAGATGTTTATAGAACTAAAATATATGTCATGTTGGAAATGGTTTAGCAAAGAGTAGCTACAGTTTTGTATCTAAGAGACTGGAGCAAAGCAGATTTTTTTTTGCCTGAGTCAATTTCAAACTGACAACAATGACCCAAGAAAGGGTTGTCTTTTACTAGCTGCCACTTTGGGGAGATGCATTTTGTCTTTCATTTAAGTAGAGGAAAGAATTCATTAGAAATGTGGTGCAAATAGATTCAGAATGATAAATCTCAAGTTACCAATTCCACTTTTAATGATTAGTTGCCTGAGTCTTGTATTTAATTAAAATGGTTATTTTAAATGCTTATATTTAATTTACACATAATTAGCTAAACCTCAATGATACTGCTTCATCCATTTTGAAATTAATTAATTTATAAAATAGCTCAAAAAGTGCTGTAAAATTTTAATATTAAGATAAATCAGGATTCCTCTGCATCTTGTGCTGGTTTCAGTTGTAACTCACAATGAGCCACTGGTAGTAGGCATGACTGCAGGGTATCTAGAATGGCTAATATGTAGTAGAACCCAATACTGATATGTCATTGACGTTTCCTTTGTTACATATGATATGTACTTTAACCTCGTAGGTACTAACAGTCTATATCACCAAGGATATGATTGTTTTAACTTTAAAGGGATCTAAATTTTATAAACTAATTTTGGCTTTAATACATTTAGGAGAAACCACTGTTTTTAGCAAATGATTCATAAGTGTGTAACAACTGGTGTTAAAAAAAAAACCTTCGAGTCAGTGTGATAATGGAACTAGAACGTGTTTTCAAGGAAATGTTCTGACTTTAACCTCTCTTTATTTTATTTATTTATTTTTAAATTTTTTATTTATTTATTTGACAGAGAGAGAGAGACAGCGAGAGAGGGAACACAAGCAGGGGAAGTGGGAGAGGGAGAAGCAGGCTCTCCGTGGAGCAGGGAGCCTGATGCGGGGCTCGATCCCAGGACTCTGGGATCATGACCTGAGCTGAAGGCAGACGCTTAACGACTGAGCCACCCAGGTGCCCCTTTAACTTCTCTTTAAACACACAACATTGTTTATATACCTAGGAACCATGAGGGAGCAGGTTTGGGAACTTTAGAAATAATTCTAGCTTCTCAAACATATTCGCTTACAGAATATGAGGAAATTCTAACCACCCACACTAATCATTGTTTCCTGGTACGGTGAAGAACTACGTCCATGAATATCCTATTCCTCTGTGTGCTGTGCTAAGCTGTGCAAATTTGTCTATTAATGATAGTGCTACCATTTATCAGCTACTAAATATTGTTAGCACTGACCTAAATGCCTCATGAGCTGGTATCATTAGGCCCATTTTATAGGTGAACAAAGTGAGGCCAAGGGAGTCTAAGGCACCTGCCAAGGGCCACGTAATTGGTAGTGATGGGGTGGGTGCAAAACCTCATTCTATAGCTCTGCACCTCACTGTCCCAGCTCGCCAACTAAGAGCTCTAAAGGAGGCATTTTCAGTTGTGAGATGCTTACAGCCACCACCACTACCACAACAAAATACCTCTCCCTTGCAATAATAGTGTGAATTAATTAAAAGATGAAGGCAACACATTTGGCTCAGCTATTAGGAATTAAAATCTATTGCTCCCAGTATTAGTCATCTCTTATATCCATATACACAGAATTTTCTAGTATTTTATTAAAACCTGGTCTGGGCCTCCTACTCTCCAATGAACCCTTCTAGTGGGGGAATCTGTTCCTGCCATTCTCTGATATTAGCTCAAACCTTTTGCATCCCCTCCTACCCTTGAGGAATTTTAATTCCGAGCAGGCTCAGCTTACACATGAAATGAAGTTACATAGAATGTTTCTCTTCTTTTCACACTAGTACAATTATGTGGCATTCCAGGATGCCTTGAGCTGTACCGTATCTCAATTACCTCAACTGCCATCTGTTTCTACTTCTTTCAGCCCTTCTCCCTGGTACCCTAAACAATGAATGATATTCCCACTCCAGAGCCAGACTTAGTGCATTCTCTGCCAAGGATGTGCGTAACATATACAGATATCCCTCCTATTTCAATAAGACGATATGAGGTTTGATCAAAGCCAATTATCTATTGATTTTCAGTTTAACATTCCAACTATCCACCATTATCTTAATTCTGGAAATCCTCAGAAGACCCAAAGCATTGGATGCATCACAAATGAATCATAATGGGGAAGTACTATTTGAAGAATGAGGAGGGGGAGACATACAGGCGCATCTGCTTTGTCAATCTTGCTAAGGCCTTCAAATGCCATCTGTTTTCCATTCTTTTCTGGCTACTGTCTTTCCCTAGGTTAAAAGATTTTAAAATGCGGAAAAAAACCTTGAAAACAAGTTTGAGATTATAATTCTGTATTTCATCTGCCGAAGAGAGAACTACAGTTAGCCTCAGCAAGTGTTCCTA